ACAGAGACGACCGAAGACTTGGCGGTGACCTTGAGCACGGAGTAGCCAAAATTGAGATCTCTCAGAAAGTGCGAGTTTTCACCATGCATCAATCTCGGCGGGTGGATAGTGTGACCTGGTTTCTTCTTAGATCGGGACTAGTTATCGCGGATATTGGAGCTTTCGATATTGAGAAAGAAACGACGAAGTGGTAACCGGTAGCTCGACAGATGTGTCTTAAGAGTTACAAAGCACTATTTGGTTTCGGCATTTATGGGTTTGGAAATGCTCTTACTTCTCCCCATAGAACCGGCATGTGTATAGTGGGACGGGGGGTGCGTTTTATGAACTTTTTCTCTAAGAGTTGTATTGCTCTCCCTGTGCTGCTCTGATGGGTACTCGAGGACTTCGAGCAAGACCTTATGCTGAGAACGAATCCGTTAAACAACGCCAAGGCCAGGGGCAACAGACCTGGCAATAAAATAGGATCAGGCCCGCGTCGTTATCAGGCTTGAGTTTCAATTATTGTTGGCAATAGAATTCAGATGATGGTGCTAATAAAGACTTATTAGCCTGAGCGATGGAGCATGGCTAAGAGCAGCGGATTGACGTTCGCCGGTGGGATAAATCACATAACAGCATGGCCGGTAGAAATGGATGATGTGAGGTGTGAGGTGTTTCGGAAGGTAGGCAATAGATGATTCGACGAAAAATATATGGTGAAGAATAGCGACAAATAACTGATCGCTGCCAGCTTCTGCTCCTATTATCCTTGGCTTTGGCAAGAAAAAGATTGATTGAAGATATCATTGTGTCGGGTCGAAAAGTCTCAACTTATCAACCTGCGGCGAACGGGCAATGTGTCAATATGTCCTTACTAATAAGCTGCATTACTCATTATGCGATGTCTCGCATAATTCTATCTCTCTCCAGCACATCGGGGACGCTGCTGCCGCGATGCAATATGTATCCCGTGTTGACGTGGTGAAACAGAACGTGTCTTATATGCGCGTCTTGGAGGGGTGGCGGTTACAGATTCACATTACTTTTGGGGGCTGTGTAGCCAAGGTTGCGTATCCTTTTGATTTGAGGGCTTTCCATTGCTATACTAGCTGGCTTCCTCCTTTTTTTGCGGTGTTATGTTGAGCGTCTTTTCGGTACGACGGATTCCATTCCAGATACCATGTGATACTGAGATCCTATTATCGCGGGAGTCAGCCAAGTGATGGGCTCTATGAGAGGTAGTGGTTCAATGATTGTACACGAAGCTGAACTTTCAGACGCAGCAATATTGGGATCGTCGGTGGATTTTCAAAGAAAACTGAGATATGCTAAGCTTTTAATAGAATACCTACGTATAATGAAATTTGAACGTCAGAAACCTTATCCTTTAAACTCTTACTTAATCGAATATCAAGAAGATTTAACATGTCCCTTTACATTTCTTTTATCTTCCAAAGTAGAGCAATATGGTGAAATCTGACACTCAGACATTTATGTAACTGCACCACAGAGCAAAGATAAGGTACCATAATAACGACAACAAGTTTGGGCGATCATGGTGATTCTGTCGCAACCTTGGGAGGAGATCTCCGATTTATCAAGGAAACTATTGGACACCGAGGGTGTTCCCATAGCCCGCGCCTCGCAATTACGTCAAGCCCTCGGCCTCGCTCAACCTTGTTGTTCGCTCAAGAACGGAGCGTTGCAGAGCTCTGAGTATGACTATTAAATATTTGGCTAATCTACCTCGTAGAAAACAGTGACTGAATCATATTACGGGTGACCTAGGCCGGAAGATGTGTCGAACGCTCGCAGTCATGCTTGCCGACCCGGAAAGCCTTTGGACTCCGCATTCAAATTGGCAACTGTTCAGCTAGCGAGGCCTTGTCGCTTACATACTAGCACTCATCTGATGCAGAAGGCCTCAGCCCGTAAATTGCTGTTACCAAAAGTGAAAGCCAGTTTAAATTGCAGAGTGCGATAAGCCAGTGGGTCGATGGGGATGAAAAATGGCGTGGTATCGCACTCGCAAGTTGGGTTCCTCTCTTACAACGCGTCAATCGGCGAATGATATCTCGGCATGTCCCATAGGCCAAGTCATCGCTGGAGGTAATCCTGAAAGACTGGTCTCGAGCTTCTTGATCCGAATCCCTTGTTAAAACCTACTTTCCTTAGTCTTGGACCCTCGTCCAATTTGATCTGTGCCTATTTCACAGTGGTTGGGTGGCGTCGGCCCGAACTAGCAAGAGGCGCTCAATAGAGGATCTGGGTCGCGCGCGACTATATGACTACACCCAGTCAGATACAACAGGATGCGCGCATCACAACAGAGCGCAGCTTGCATTTTGGCGGAGAAAGTGGAGGACGGGGAGGGGAGGTTCCTGCTGAGTGTTGAAGAGGAGTTGGAACGGCAGGAGGGACAGAACCGCATTGTCTCGGGGATGAGGACCTCGACTGGCGGCTCACTCAAGTGTTGGCTTGACACAGGGCTTGGCCATGGTGTCGAATAAGGATTGTAGCGAGCGAGCGACAGGCGCGTCGAGAAGCAGGCGAGAATTCGAGAATGGAAAGGAGGTATCAGAATTTCAAGAATTTGGAAAAGGTTGAGTAGAGTCCAATCCAAGCATGCGCGAGTATGAGCAGACGAGCAAAGTTGCGGCAGGCAGGGTAAGAGGTTGTTAGTTTTCAAGCGGAGGTTTGTAGCGGTTTGGACTCGATATGGTCGGTATGGATCATGTCGATTGGAGGTTCTGGTGGAACTCTGGAAGTTGCAGTTTATGCGAAGACAGAGTAATGTTGGTGAGCCAAGGAGTGGACCACGAAGTTGCATGACCTGCGTCCTGTAGACGGTTTTGGCGTAGCAGCGTCGAGGACGTATGTCAGTAGCTCCGAAAATGACCGGAGAATCTCACAACGAAAGATAGCATCAGTGGTGACAGCATTGTATATGATAACGATGAAGAGATTGTTTGGTGTCGTGATGTAAATAGGGCCTGTTACATGTGCAACAATAAAGACTAACGGTCAATAGCAAAAAGAAGTTGCGTCTTGAAATACAAGACCATGGTTGGGATTGTCGCAGTCTTGACAAAGGCCTCATCGATGCTGTAATCCTTGCTGGAAGAAGAGGTCGGGAATGCTGTTAAAGTAAGTCTGTGCGAATGTCAATGTGCCGGGATCGGAGTTAAAAAGGCAATTATCTTTAGCTATTCTCATAGCTTTCGCTTGGTTTGGTGCTTTGAGGGTCGAGGGTCTTTTTGAACGATGGCTATGCTGCTCGGAACCCCGAATCATGTAAGATGGAGGAGAAGGAATACGCTGTTCAGAGTTCGAGAAGCCGTGGCAGTTCCAAAACTTGGCTTTATCGGCGCCCTACATTCACGTGGATTTGGCGCTTAAATGTTCACAGATATGCTTTCAGCCTCATTCTCCCTTTCCAGCGTTCTCGCTGTTCTCCAGATCAATAGAACAGCTCTGCTTTTGATCCGCGATACATCCGTGTTCCTCAGACATCGAGTGTCTCTTTTACCTTTCAAGCCCGACAAGATATCTCATAATGTTAGAGCTTCAAGTTTTCTCGCTCCTCGACATCCGTCGCCTGTTCAGTCGAATCTCCCCCGCCGTCTCACGCTACTCAAATCGTCTGACCATCCTCCGACCTTGCCTCTGTAGGTTCCACCGCACACTCCTAACGTAGGCGATTCTCTAGCTTTCCCGGCCCACGGTTTTAGAACACGGCGGTCAGACCCAGCCCTCTGCAATGTTATTATGGTTTCTCTTGACACTTTGTCCTTCTCCCTCAAGACTTTGATCCTGGGTGTTGGTTCGGCAACGATCTCAATGGCCTTTTGGTTAGCAACGCTGCACACGATCAGGATGCTACATCTAACTGACCGTTTACTCAGATCTAGCTATATAGACGGAATAACTTCTGGCAATCTTAACGGGCGCCTGTGCCTTGAAAGTTGACCGACCCAGATGCACTCTGCTTCTCGACGGCTAGACCAGACACGATTTTGTCGTCCCCGAAACTCCCGCAGCCACTTTAACAGCGCAGTTCCTATTTCTGGTGAGCCCTTTTCACACTGCAGAGTTGGCGCAGCGATCCACTGGAGAAGGCGCGAGGTGGAAGAATCACCATCCAGAGGTCGGCCTTGGACACCAACGAAGTCAAAACGTTGTGTCAGACCTCTCAAGATGGCCAAGAGGATACCGGCGACAAGATCTGCAATATACATACTGGGGTCCTGAACGACAGCTGGAATGATTATAGAACTTTGTTGCGCCCTAGGCTCCCAATCATCAACCTCGGAGGCGACCTGCGGTTCATGCCACCAGTGATTGGGCTGCAGACCGAGCTCAACGTGGTTCGCCGCCACGGGTTAATAGTCCGCCGAATCTATCTACCTCCCTATTACAGGTAAGAATGCCCTCAATCCCAACAAGGAAACCAGTCTGCCGACTGACTCATTCCATTCTCAAAACGTTCTGAAACTACATACTGCGATAAGCCCAACTCTGTTGTATTCAGGAACATGCATCCGAACACTGGTACGATCACCACTCCTTTATAGTCTCCACGCTTATCAGACTTTCGTCCAGTAGCTTGGTAGGGAGACTAATAACGGTAGAGCTATTGAAGCATCACAATAACTAAGCCTTTGAGACATGTCAGATTTCGATGACGGCGATGTCTTATCATATGACCGAGACATGACCTTCGAGCACACTTTACTGGCTTTTAAATAACCTTACGTCCTCGATGGCTGCGACTGCCAGAATATTCACAGTGACTCCCCCACACGGCTGGCTGGATGATAGATGGGCGAAGCTGTCTCCACGTTGCTCACAACAGGTGGGATGTCGGATATGCCTCATTGTTCGGATCACGACATAAGGATTATCAGCCTTCATAGCTAGGCATTTGTCCAAACTCTACGACGGCTCTGGTAATGACCTTCAACTGAAACTCACCATGGCCCCATCGGTACATTCAGGCTTTCGATTAGATACCCATCATGGGCAAATTACCGATGTCCCTCGAGTTTTATTTCTGTGTCCCAAACCTAGGCCGACCAAGAAAGTCAGACGCGACTCAAAACGTCGTAGTAAGCACGTCAAAACCATTCGCCATGATCTTCCCGACTTACCAGTATCAGCAAGGCCGTGGTCTATCCCTAGAAGCAAAATCGACTCAGACAGCTACAGGGCTTCGTGCTGTGAGCGGAACCACCATGCCTACTCCCAGCCACGTTATCGGCCATCCAAAGCTCCCTCATAGCCATAAGATGACATCTCGCTGGCAGTTACAGTTCTTGAGTGGACTGGTTGTGTGACTCGCTCTGTGGTACTTGATGATGTACCCGCCACGAAGAAGAGTACGTAGATCACCAGTTTGTGAATTTCTCGACGGAATCGAAGCCACTCTGTCGGGAGACCGGACTTCTTCCGATAAGTCTGTTTGTCTTTTATCCGTTCTGAAGTGGTATGAACTTTCCCGGTACGTCAAGGGTCAACGATATCTATCCGACCCCGTTTGAGGTCTTGTCCATGACCTAGTTTACGAGTCAGTTACATTGATAAGCAACTGTCCTTTCCCACTCCCACGGTGGGTGGGAGTAGAGTACCTTTGTAGGCCACGCCATGCCCTGTCAACGCGTTCGGGCTTGGGTAAAGGGTGCAGCAAGTCCGGTTCTAGCGGAGACACTCCTCTATCTCTGATGACGTCAGACGCACACCGAGTGCAGAACTTACAAGGAGGTTATCTACCTGCATATCACCAGTCAGTCTATCCGCTATTGAGGGCAAAGACTGCCTACAAGATACAGGTGTGCGTTCTCCACAATATGTAAACAGCGGCCTGAGGGGAAAGCCTGAATTCCAAGACGGCATCACTTCCTCAGAAGACTTCGCCGATAGGTTCTTCGAAACGTCTTAGCGGAACAATCCTTGCCTCGGTCATCAGTCGGCATTGGACATTATGTGGAGCCATCTAGACTCCTCTAAAGTCGCGATGACACTTGAATAGCCGGTGGCTGAAGTGTCTTGGCAAACACCGATATAGCTTCGACAACGACTTTGGCAGTTTCTAAAGACTGAGAAACTCCAACACATGACAGTTCATCGTCGCTCGAACTCCCATGGTCACGTCCACTAGGCGATGCCTCTATGCGGGGCATTCATGTGCTCCGAGGGCAGCAGCTGGAGAACGAGAGATTCTTACCTAGATCAAGCTGCGAGACCACTAGGCTGAGTCTTCCACATCTGGAAGACAGTCTCTGATGTCGGCTTTAGATTCCAACGGCATGCCTTCTGGCAGTAAACGTCACGCCAGGTTGCGGTATTTCGACGTGAACACCACAGGGACTGTGGGCAGATCATAAGCCCGACTTGTCGAGGTATCGGATATCAGTGAGATATTTCGGGCTTGGAATAGAGCCCCCCTGAGCAAGCTAGCATGTTGCGGGTTTCGAGGAGGGAGGGCTTTCTGGTTGCGAAGAAGGATATCTCTCGAGTTGCTGTTATGGCGGCCATGCGCTATCTTGTAAAAGATCGCCAATCGTCAGAGTGACAAGGGCTTTTCCACAAAGGGTGGGTAGTTTCGCGAGATTCTTTGAGTGTCAAACGTAACATTGGCTCGCGTCGAAGAAGCTTGGAAATCACACGATGATGGGGGATCTAATATCAAGGTCGTCTTGTCCTGGCTAATCGAGGCCGGTGCGGTGGCGGCTGCAGTAATCATTTGGCTTCCGCTCGCTATTGACTTGATGGTCAGATTCAGACGTTACTCCTGCTCGGGGCGTCTCACTGGGCGATAAAAGAGGCTGGGGCTAACTCCCCTACAGCTACCTGCTATCGAGTTTGCCAGTTCTCGTGGATGTCATCGAGTTCGTCAATATTTACTTAACCTTCACCAAAGGACGAACCTTCTGGTAGCTGGATGGACCCGGATAGATGCCGCGCTGGAACAAAGAAGGGAATTGGACCTTATGCGACCGGCAAGTCCCTGGAGTGTTGTTCTGGCGTTGGGAAATGAGGCGATTGGACGGTGCTGGATCCAACCTTGGTCCACAGAACAGGTGGTTGGTGTAGAATGAGCCGAATCAGAGGTTTTCTATATGAAGTTCGGTTTGGGGCATTATGCGGGACCAGCAGTAGATAAATCTCTTGAGACTCTAGTTAGCCAGACGGTTTGTCGGGAAGGATAGTCTTGTGATTCGCTCTGGGGCCAACAGGCTGACTGGCGGGTTGCTCTTGTTTCCCACACCTTAATGTAACCACCACTCACAGGTCCACAGCTGATCTCTTTCTGGAAATACTCTTGAGATTGGTTATTGGATCTTTGACACGAGATTCGATTTGCCGCCGCGTTTGGATGATGGTGTGTCACGGCCTGGTCAAGCTCTAGCTGTAAGGCTCGTAGAGATTGTCGGGGTATAGATTCGGTTGAGGTCTTCGATGTGGAACTATCTGTCGGTAGTATCTCGACTAAATTGTGCGGGATGCTTTGGGTTGGGGCTATTGAGGCTGTCAACGATACCTTGACCAACGCTGAGGAGTCTGTTTGAGTTGTTCACATTTTCTGCCGTAGAAGGGCGAGAGGGGCGATGTTACTCGCAGCTGGGCGACAGCGAGATGTTCTCACCGGTTCTCAAGCCATCGACAAGAGGGTCATGTACTGCAAGATACTCAGCGAGTGACAACGGTTGAAGGATGGCGGCACGGCGCACACACACCCTCTTACTCGTCAAGATTGTAAAACGGCAACCGTCAAGGTGGTGGAGACATTGTGCAAATGATGAATCGGAACAAGACCTGTTGCCGGGACATTCTCCTTCAGTTCGGAAGTGGTCTTATTGAACGCGCACTGAATATAACACAACGGAAAGCAGGCTCGCTGTTTGGCTCGTTGATGCCGATGTAGAGAAGGTCTGGCGTAAATACTTCGATGGATATGGTCAGTGGAGTCAATAGCAAGGCTGAGAAAATCAGGTTTCGCTGTCATGGAGTTGATTCTCTTGACCTAACCCTGCTGATGGCAGGGCATCGTTGCGGCGGACTGAGTAACGGGGCCCATGGCAGATTCAAGGCAAGCCAAGGCGACATGCACCCAGTCGACACATAGTAAAGTATCTTGTCGGTTGGAATTTATTTGCGATATTGCCTTCATGATGATGTGGCTACTCGATGAAGCGCGTGCGCTTGCGTTGGCGACAGCGGAGCGATTAGGGACCCGTGTAATGAACTTGGGTCAGAGGCTTTTGTTGAGTTACCCTGGGCTTTTTGCTACCTTCAAGGAGTAGCGGCAGCCGCAGGTTCAATGGTTTTGTTTAGAGACTTCTCTTGAATGTGAATCATATGCGTTATAAGGCCAGCACGGGATTCAGAAGATATTAGTTTGTCGCCGCGGTATGTACCTGCTGGCTTGGCACATCACTGCTAGAGCATTGGAAACTTCAACCAAATCTTCTCACGTTTGTATCGACTCCTTCTACCCTTCCTTCATACCAGGATGTCTTTCCACGGATGCGGCTCGATGGCGGCTTGTTGGCTTACGGCGTATATCGCTTTGCTCAAGACGGCAGGGTGTCTAGACCTCGATAGGTGCGTCCAGGCTCCCTCCAGCCTACGGCAACTCCATCATGACCTTTAAGATTTGGTAATAATGGGTCCTTTTGGTTCAGTGGGTTTCCTGGCGAAGCACCGGACCGTATGATAAATATTCTAAGATCAAGGGAGATAAGCGAAAAGTCAGCCGTCGCGTTGGTCATTCTTATTGACGGTTTCTAATCCTTGATTTGATGTTTACCTGCGACTGTGGCACGGCAGGAGGGCATACTTATAGACACTCAAAGACTGGCTGCCCGACAATGTTGTTGGTCGAGTCTCAGAGTCTGAAATGAATGAGGTGTGGAAGACATCTTGGCTGATAATCATTCACCAGCCTCGCCGTTGTAGAGGGGATCCTGTGCTATTTCGTGGCAACTTCTAGCACTATGTACGAGACCTGGCCGGTGCTAAACATTACCATTTCTTCCAAGTAGAAGCTGATCCAAGTTCTTGGCTGCAGCCCGTAATGGCCTTAATACCGGTGATGTCTCGCATCGGCCTTGTCCATGCTGAAACGCCGATATGTGCTTTGAGTTGTGTCGGAACCTGGGGTCCGCTAGAGGCCTGACCAGTACTCGCATTCTCAAAGACTGACAAAGGAAGACTCTATGTAGAGGCAACCGTTACTGAAGCATCGGCGCTGCGAACATATAGTATCTTATTCCGTTGTTTCCTGTTATATGAGCTGCGCATTGATTGATACCAGTCGTTTCGCCCTCCTGATACTCATAGCTTTACTGTGCGGTATCTTCTCTCCGTCAGTTATGCTTTCGGGGTACCCGTTGCCGAAGGGGGTGGGCCTTAAATGTTGGTGTTGAGTTCCGAGACTCCCGATCTGTTTATATCGACCGGAATCTCCCAGCTCGGTTTTGTATGTAGGACCATTTAGGTCAGTACTGGTGGGGACAGAAGGTCGAGACGGCCTGTAGAGTGGGAGATATTGACGATATGGTGGGTGTTTTGTGAACTCTAGCTAGACCTTCCAATAGTATTATCCTTTCTCACGTCGTATTGAACCTCTGCCTTTTTTACGGCTTCGACATCGAAAACACGGGCTTGGTGCCTTTCTAAGGACTGAGAACAGCCTAGCCCGTTGCCCTGAAGCTAATCGGTTTGTAGTCGAGGATATCCAGCTGCACGAACGGTAGGTACGCAATTGAGACGCCCGAACCAACCCTCGGAGTCATCGGGTTTGAGTGATAAGGATCTACCGATGTAACACCTCTTGAGTTTTCTAAACTTGATCTGCTGCCTGCGTAGTTCGAGAGTATTGCAGAACTGCTATACGGGGTTGTGCTCGCGTTCGCTGAACGCAAGCGTATCGCTCAAGGGTTATTGGCTCAGGATTCTTAGCTGACCACGATGCGGCCGAGTTCCGGTTGTTCTCAGACTTGTCCAAGCATCAAGGTCGACCTGAAGCTAAGCTTGATCGTTGGCGGCTGCCCTGGATCTTTTCGAAGAGGAAACGAATTTGCCGTTGCCGTCAAGGATTGGGCAAGCTATCTGGAGCTTGGCAGGACTTGTTGGATCTGAAAGGCAGGATTGAAAGATTCGTCGCCGTTAGGGAAGGGTCATATCCTTCTCTTTTAAGGGAAGTGGAGCTCAGTGAAACTGGCTGCTGGCCGTGGATAAGCCCTCTCGATGTGACCGTTGACATGCTATATGTGCGGCTTTATGTCATAGAACAAGAAGTTCCGCTAGGATGATGATAGGTCTGCAACGAACGTACGGTGACATTAATGAGGAATTTCCGGTGCCTGAAAGTTTGTTGGGCCTAAGCGTCCAAGAACAACACACGCAACAACAAGAAAATGACATTTTCGCTTCTCGTAATCTACACAGTTCTGACGTCGCAATTGAAAATTTGTCAGGATTGTTCCGAGGTTCGCTGTCGAGAGCGTCGAGGATTCGGATTTCTGGACAAGTCGCGTTGGAGGGGGCTTGGGAGTGGCAGAAACGGTTGCTCGTTTTGCGAGTTGGCGAGTTGAACTTAGGGTCGTTTTTGTCAGGTGCCGCAGCAGATCCAACAAACCAGTGAGAAACAGGAAACAGCAACACGGCTGTTGAGGGGGAAGAAAACATAACAAAGCCACTACAGTAAAACGGCAAAACGATTCAATCTAAATGGAGTCTATACTTTCTATTGAGGCATGTATGAGGTTAAATTGATTCGGGACTAAAATAACTTAAACTACGGAGATTAAATAAACAAATTGCAGTGGAGCAATTAGCCCAAAGAAGTAGGCTAAGCTTTCAATAGCGTAGATCTTTCAAGGGCGTTGTGTAACAGCAGACCGTTTGTTACTTTAGGGTAAAGCTTCATCCAAAATAGTGAGCTTGGACTACAGTCTTTCACGTTGTGATAGTTTTTGTGTTTTGACAGAGGAGCATGATTTTGATAAAAAGATGTCTTCTATATTTTTCGAGTAATTCTTTATTCCCATCGCCACACCACATGATTTTATCTCGCGTTAAAAATGAGCTTATCGAGGCCGTGCCATTCGTGCTCATCCAAACCAGAAGTCGTCCGCGGCAAAAGATTTAGTATCGCGGCGAAAGCGGAAGGCCTAGAGTGTGATGTGGTGGTCGACTGAATGTCCAATTGGCATGCAGGTCGAGTATGTCACATGTTTGGCCAAACTCCTTCAAAGCAAACGATGGGGATCGCGCACCTTGATCGGCAGCAAATGGGATCGCCGGTCGCGCTATTCTCATGCGCTTAGTGAAGTCAGAAATTACAGTCACCGTCGCTGTCAGTGGTCCCCAAACCACCTTGTTGCGAGAGTACTTGTCGTCCCGAGGAGGGATTGCCGTTTCAACTCTCGACACCCTCTCTACAACACACGTTCTCTGCCCTCACGTGGTGTGAGCATTTGTAGTTGACTTTCCAACTGATACACTCCCGGGCCCAGACTCTGGCTCGAGCTGTGGGCAGTTGCAGCTCACTGTTCGTGTACCAGGTTTGATTACCTTCAAAAGGAAAATGGCATCGACCATCAACTCAATGACGCGTTATTGGATCTCGGTTGGCAACCTCATAAGAGGAAATCCTTCGATGGGCGATGGCCAATTTTGTAGAAGTTATTTAAAATCTATTTTCCCATCTCTTCTTGGATGCCATCAGCTACTTGGCGGGCACCTACCAGCAATCTCAAGAATCTCGGTGCACATCTCCATGATGTTGACGTACGTCTTCACCTCTTGGGAAGTTTTCTTGATCACGCAAGCACAGTTGGCTATCAGGGTTCCCGGCGCCAATGGGCGGTGTTTTATGGTGTCCTTGAGCCATGTAGAAGTGGTGCCGTTGTCCCTGACTTATCTCGTGATGGCTTTGAATCACTGAACGAATACTTGTCGACGATATAAAGAAGGGTTGAGTTGAGAGGTCAAATGGGAGGCGCAAGACTTCCAATGCTCATTGGTTCATACGGCAATCTCGCTCGAATTAAACATGATCTTCGAAGGCAGTATATATGCAATTTGGCTGGAATCATAAGACTCAGTCGCGATGCCATTGTAGAGTTCAACATCGTTGACCTACAGAACCAAGGAGCGTGGGCTGGCGTCTGTTCTTGCCACCGAGATAAAGTCTGCTGGTTGTTGTGAGTATCTTGGGCAAGTTGCCTCCAGCAGGTCAATATAGACGTCAATCGCTTGCAAAACCAAGACGGGGCGGGCGAAGATGTGATGTAAGTTGCTGTTGTTTGTCATCTTAGCTTTTCGACGCTACTCAGCAGCCGGAAAGATTATCTTCCTACACCTTTCTCAAAGTCTCCGACCTGGACATCACTCACTGCTGGTGTCACTTCAAACTATAGACACGTTTGCGGCAAAGCGACGTTCATCGCGATTTGACTCTGATAGCCGTAACCCAGTCTCAACCGCCAGTTCCATGCAGAAAGTCATATCCGGCAGCTGCGCCATCGACGATGGAACATCATTCAACTACCGTTCTGTCCGTTGTTAGGCATTTCATAACGGCGCCGTATTCAGTAACGCATGGGGGATTTGCGCAGTTGTTAGGGTGCTGGTGGTGCTGGTCGCGAATGGCATCGCTCGTCGGATATACAGTTCTGGGCATTTGTATCTTATTCTAATTTGGCGCGCCAGTCAGTAACATAAGAACCCAAATACGCCACAAACGTTGCCTTCACAGCCACAACTCCCCTTGGTGCATGCCGCCGCTCTCGCTCTGCCAAATGTTGTGTGAAACCTCACAATCACAACAAACACACAACCTCATTTTTCTTACAACACCAGTAAAATGGGCAACGCTGCCCTTGCCCGTGCCCTCTCGCCTGTGCCCCTCACCGCGCGGCTCTCAGAGCTGCTCACCACCCTCGAAGATGCCATCGCCAAGACCGTCGATACTGTCAACGCCGTCATGCAAACCTGGGATGCGATTCACCGTGAGTTTTTCGTCACTGCCGTCATGCCCAACGTGACTGGTGACGTTCGGCTTCTTCTCTTCCCGGCCTGGGCTGTTGTACACGTAGGTAACGATATTCTTGCCTTTGTCTGCCAGCGTCGTCTTGCCGCTGAGGTTAATACCCGCGGCGGATCCGACCTCTCCCGTCTCAATACTCTCGCTGGGTTACTGAATTGGCCTCACGCTGTGTTTTATTTTGTGTTGAGGAAGCACATCACCAACAACAAGATCATCCAGGCGTTTCGCGTGGTGTGCGGGCTGCCTGACGCCGTGACCTTCGTCGCTTTCTACGGGAAAGCCGAGACCGTGCGTTGTGAAATGGGGACTGTCAATCGTGAGGTAAAGCGTGTCCCTGTGATCCGCGACACCCTCAAGAGTCTGGGGTAAGGGGTTCGTCTCAGAAGTGTGCTCAGTAGGCTAATACATCTTGTGTCTAGTGCCACCGACGTCTGGCCTGGCTCCAAAGCCGGTTCCCGGGCAGGCTCCCTTGGTCCTTCATCGATCGACGCCCACAACCTCATGACCCTCTCCTTTCTCCTCTCAACCGTTTGCAATCACCAACACGTCCCCCTCGGTCCTCTTCAACCTCTGTTTCACTTCCACAACAACATCGTTCGCGACAGCCTCGCTCGCCCCTCGCTATCTCATCTCTTCAGCACTCCCAACCTCTCGCTGTCTTCGATGACCAACTTCCATCTAGCACTGCAACTCCCGAGGTAGCTCGCCCTGCCACCCTGCTCCCATGCATGAAGAGTCCAGCGTTGCGCTTCCGAATGACGACATGGGCATTGAAACTGGCATGGGCATGGATGAGGATCTGGAACAGAGGTTCCCTAGTGTCTCGGTAAAAGTCACCACCGCCGGACGTCAGTCTCTCGACTCACCTCACGACACCATTCAATGAGCTGGTAGAGTCTATCATCTGTCGTCTTGCTCCTGGCCAGTGGCTCAACGACAATACCATCAATACCGCTCTATCTCGCCTCGCCTCCGACAGTGTCGGTGTCATCGGAAGCCTCTCTGTCTGCGCAATCCCATCGCCTCGCCTTGTTGAACGGCTCAACAGCACCTTCACCACCAAGCCTGCTGTCCTCATTCCGGTTTGTGATGAGGCATCCAGCCACTGGCGTCTATACTGCTAGAGAGCGCCTGGGACTCTGGATGTGTTTGATTCTTGTCGTAACATGCCCGACACCACCACTGAGGTGGTCAAGCAGTTCGTCAAGGCTGTTTCCAAGGCCGGCGATATGGAGGTCGAGCATTGAGGTACGTTAGACGATGTTAAATCTACGCAAATACTCACACTCTCGTAGTGCTCACAACAGGCAAACGCCTTTGAATTCGGCGTTTTCATCATCCAGTTTGCACACCTGATCGCCTCGGGAAAAGACCCCGCAACCTCGATCGTCCTGTTCGACTCGGAATCGGTGAGACTCATTATCGCTACTCTCCCACCATGGAAGCCGTCCACTCCACTACTGCCCCTACTGCGATCTGTCCGCACTCATCTGGTCGCCAATTTGGCCCGGCCAACTAGCTCGACCTCTCCTCCGACAAAGTCCAGCCTGAGATCCTTGACCTGGCTACCCACATCCAACTCCTCCGCCATGGGATTCACACTCTTCATCTCCGCCAGAAGTCGAGCATCGCCGAGGCCACCAAGACCCAACCTCTTGAGAGTATGCCCGCTTTTCTTGGGATTGCGAATCTGCGGGGGTATGTAGGCCAACGCGAATCTGTAGCGGGTAAGTTTGGTCCTGAGGATTGTCTCTCCATGCCTGAGGCTATTAGACCAGTCTTGAAGATCATCAGCAAGATGGAGGCTGGTATGCAGATTGCCCGTCGAAGGTTCCAAGCTCGTTATGGGGAGTGTATTGTCTTGTTTTTGGTGTTGCGATACGCTCGCAAGAAGTTCGATGTTCTGCAGATGAAACTAGCCACGGTTCGAAAGTGATCTGGTTCGGCTAAGTAAAAGCTTTCTTTTTTTGTTGTATGGTACTATACGGTGGGCTATCAACGATTACGGAATGAAAGGTTGTGGTTGATCCGTTGAAGGACTTTAATTTTGTAGTGATAGTGTCCAAGGCTGAGTAATTTTAAACTCACTGAGGGCATTGGCAGGAAGAGGCTTCATGGACCTACCTAGTGAAGCATCATCTAAATAGCCAACTGTCTCACAGAAGCAAGCTCAACGCGATGATAAGTGACTCTCATCTGGCATCATAATGATAAAGATTACTCCCTTTACACCCCAGGAATGATCCGTTGCAAAGTAGTAGTGAAGTGGGAGACCTCAGGGCCTAAGCGTCTTGTTCAGAACCACGCATCCTATCAAGACAATGTTGATTTCATTAGTAATCGCTTCACTTCACGACGAGTGGGTATTAGCTATCTAACCAATAGCCCAGAATTGAATTTCTTCATAATGTGAGGTATCTCACGGGATGACCGCAATGGAAACCGGCAACGGGAAGTCCAACTATCATACAGCCACGATTCTTACACAGGCCGGTTGTTCAGTATAGCAATGACAAAAATGGTGTGAAGGCGATCACTGGACGTGCCTGAATTAGACACTCAATATTAGTCACTGTCAGTAAGGATTGTTCGCGACAGTGCAGGCTTGTGTTGTAAAAGTGATGAACAGCTCAACCACGACTTCGGTCTTCCTTCAATCAAAGTGTTTCGGTGAGATCTGCCCAGGGAACAATGAGACCAGTTTGTCTGTATCCAAATTGATCAAGGACGCTGTTTCGCCATGATAATGTGCGTCAGCGGTTGGAGAGCCAATCCATTTGTGTCTCGAATGAGTTAGTTCACTGCGACCCAGGCGCCCGCACCACGACTTCATCGCAACCGTGGGCCGAGACGACCGGCTAGCATGATACACATATAATCCCGAACAGGAGCAACGAGAACAAACACGAGATTAATCCCGGACATCCCCGTGTCGTTGGGGAGGGCGTCGGTATCCGTGGAGATGGAGGGGCTCGTGAACAAGTGCTAGCCTAGCTTTCCTGATTCACCATGTGACGAGGGGGCGGGATTGATTGCGTAAGAGGGTCTTGGCCCCAATAATTCTGTCTTCGTATGGTCGATTATGGAAAGGATCAGACTGTCGCTCGAGAAGACAAAGTCGTGGACCGTAGGCTCGGGCAACTGGTCGGAGCATTGTAGGGCCGTTACCATGCCGGGGCTCTAGATGTGTATGTATCTGTACCATACCAGTGTCAGAGGGTGACCGCGTCATAGATCATGAATATGATGATGGACTTTTTCAACCGCTCGTTTGTGGAGGAAAGGAGGGAGTACTGTTCGTATTATGACTTCTATGTTATTCTAGTAAACGCAGGACGGAGAGTTGTCAATATATCCGAGACAGGAGACAATGTAAGTTAATTAGGGCTTTGAGATTATGATTATTCGTTGTTCTGAATTGGAAAGAGCAATAGTGATGGGTTCTCTCACGCCAGATTCTGTGAACCCAGAGTATGCGACAGCGTTGCGAGAAACGCAAGTCTTCAATCGCTCAACACAAATGCATCGCGGAGGACATATTTCTCAATAAATAACTGTGTTACAAATCTTCTTGGCTGGGATTGTGGCATCAACGTTGCTCGGCAAGCCAAAACCCCGATGCCAAAGCTGAAGCTGTCATTGACCTTGTTGAGGACGGCTTGGTTAAAGCAGATATCTTCGAGGGAATTCTACAGCAAGTCTCAGGTATCTCTCGACCAAGCCATTGCATACAAAGCGTTGGGGAACTCAATGGTACGCTTTTCCATCGTCCCAGGCGGAATGGCCGTGAACTCAGTACTTAAGATGAGGGTTCATCCATCCACTGGTCTTTGCGGACCGACACCCGATAGGATCCAGCGACTCAATCGATGTTGGTTATATACTTGTATACGACTGAGACGCTCGACAGGATGAAGCGGTTGACTCTCGACGATGTCTGTGACCGTGTAGGAACCCATGCGCCTGTGAGCCACTTCAGATGTTTACGGACCCTGTTACTGGAGTAACCTAATCGAGATGTTCAACAGCCACGACTGACGTTTCCTCATTTCTCACTTTGATCGGGATATTACAGAAGAAGAAAGCGTGAAATCTTCGCGTAAGGTCAATCTAATCGATGTCTTGCTGTTTGGCTTGGATATGTCAATTGAGACGTATGGAGAGCATGGGAACAGAATGACCAAACCTTTCTTCTCCAGCGAACACAGACGACGGATAAGTCACTGGAGTGAGGAGTCTATTGGAGAGATTTCATGCCATGTCCTCAAATGAGTTTCTCATCGGCGCGAGACAATTCCCGCAGATAAAGAGCAGCTGGGTCTCAGACGAATCCTAAGCTCACAAGCCCGTTTGACTTGAACATGATGTTCACAAACTATTACCGAGCTCCAGGAAGATGCCAATCACTCTACGACCCGAGACTCTTAGACGCGAGACCCATTTTGTTTAAACACGAGATAGAGGCCAGACGTGAGGGCTGAACTTCCAGGTTCTTGTTACGCCAAGTGCGTCCTTTTCTGGAAGGCCATGGGCATTGTAAAAGTGCTGGCAGAATGGGACAATGGTGGACTGGGGATTGTTGACTGTAGCCGAGAGCACCCGGATGTCTGCTCTCTACCAGAGGTACAAGTCCGTCGACCCGACACCACTGTGCCACTTTGACCTTTTCGACATCTGAGAATGCCAGACATACTACTGTGTCAACAGCAACAACGTGATTGTAAACTTCACCGTACACTTAAGATCTTTAATCACTCTTGAAATCACCGCTCGATACAGGGATGCGAGGCTTGTGTCTGACACCCGAAATTGGCCAGTCACCTGGTTCGCGACCTTCTGCTACGCTGCAGTCAAACAAGGTTAAACTACACCAAAAGTCTGAACTTCGTCGTCTAACTTGTCGGCCGCGACGGCGACGAGACGATACTTCCAGTCAGATATGTGCTTTAAAGTGAGAGCGGACTGGCAAGACTGGGTCATACTCGTTTGTTTTGGCAAACATCGTGAACACGAAGTGAAAGTACTGACACGATCGGGTAGATTAGTAAGTAATCATCCGTATCAGAACAGCAAATATGACACAGACAGGATTGAAGACGAACCTTAGGTAAACAAATTTCAGTCAGGTGAACGTTTTTGGTGATACTGTCGATTGAAGTGTTGTGATGCTTCGCATATTGCGCTTGTGTGCATGAGAACTCCAGAATAGGAGGATGATATATTTCCACTGGTAAACATCATCCTTCCCAGTGCCTCCAGTCATACAGGGTGTGTGTACGTAACTTTGCGATAGAAGACTGTTTGTGGGACATTTCCGTTCGTATTTTATGCCCTGGACTTAACGCTGTTTTTGTTTTAACCTGGACAAGTCCAACTTAAGAGTGGCCTTGCAACTTGAGGCATAATCCAACTTGCTGGAGACAACATCCGAATAGCCTACGGGAGTGAGTAACCAACCGAAAGGCCATGCAACCATATCTCACAGATACCACCAACCCGGACAAGCCAAAAAGGCCTGAGAAAACAAGATGCCACCGAGCAAAGCTTAACAGCCAGCGACAACAAAATCACCCGCCTTCCGTAAGACGTTTCCAGAGCAGGCTAACTTGCTGGCTTGAAGATACAACTGAGGCTCGTCAAGTGCTATTTATAGTCACACTTTTGAGAATAGATGCGAAAACGTGGAAGTTATCTTTATCGGAGAGAACCCGACAACCAGTCACAAAGGGAGTACAAGTCGCCCACCAGACATTCTCTATTCTGGAGCAACTAATAGTGTCAGGTAAAGAATTCAGACCTAAAAGGCACAGTTTAAAGTACTTGGGAAGTTTGATCAGTTGAAGAAGACAGAGTGTTGATCTACAGTGTGAACAAACTGACAGTGCCGTAGACGAGATCACGAGCTGACTTCGTGCGCTTCTGAAGAGATAGAGTGGGTCCCTCTCTCCAGCCACTCTTGGATTTTTCAAACTCTTTGGAAGAATTGGTAGGCATTTGAATGCAGAGTATTGCTCTGTCCAGGGGGTTAAGCGCTCAGCCACTCGGGGCGAGAGCTCAATCTCACCTCAGACAATTAATAAACTATCACTTAGCCCCCGATTTTCACTTAGAGTTAAAGGAACAGTGAGTGTGTGCAACAGGCTTGGTATGACATCGGGGCCATGAGGTCAGGCCGTGAGTTCACTGGGTAGACAACTCAAGCTGTCAGCCAGCATACGATAGCAGGCTTCCCGAAGCTTGTGATCTTCCGAAAGACACATCACCATTGGAAAACAAGATGTTCAGTTTAACCAGATCCCATCCAAATTTCTGAGGGCGTTGCTAAACTAAGGCAATCATAGGCCCGTTCCAGAGCAGGCTAGTTCAGGACTCGACGATTGTGGGAGTGTGGACCTCGCGATAGCTTTAAAAATGGAAGGGGCTCTACTCCACCCTGGGTATCGTGGAATCAGTCAATGTAGACAAGTTTCAAATCTTTAGTTACGATCTTTTACTGACAGTACCCTCACACCAGTTCGGGTGTGGACCCCTTGCCACCAGTTACTATGAGGTCTTGACCTCTGTTATCGTATCCAAATATCCAATCGCGGATACCTGGCCTGCGCAGAATGCGTATAGTCAGAGATGTACCCACCATCAAGGTCCAGACAAAGGTACGTCCTTATCGTCTCAGCTAATCAGCAAAAATCGGTGACCGGGGCTTCAGTAAGTCAAATTGGTCAGAGCCTTATGAACGAGCATGTCACTGAACTTCCTTACCTACTGTATGTGGGGTGTTATGTATACGCTATGAATGAGATGGGTTGTGGCTTCAAAGGAAAATAGAGTCACTTGAGTTCCCACGATTGAGAGATCAGAAGAGGAGAGGAGAGTATTCGTTTTCCTTTTTAACTCGTCTGCCTCCACGGCATCGTTTACCCAAGCGATTGAAGCGTT